TGAATATTTATTATAAAAAATAGTTTTATTATGATTATAAAGTAAATGTCCTTATCATATAATATGAATGAAAATATTTATGTAAAGTAATTTTGCAATTTCTTGTTCATAGAACCATAAGTAATTTAATGATATAATAATAATAATAACAAAAAAAAAAATTTTTTTTAATGTCAATAAAATTAAATAATAATAATATAGTTTAATCCTTTTTCTAATATAAAATTCATATTCAAAACTAATGCGATTATATGAGTAAATGTGAATGGCAAAAGAAAAGATTTAAATAAACTTAAATATTAACTAGAAAAATTCCAAATATTTTTTTTTAAAAAAAATCTCTGCGTATTTTAACTAGATCGTGCATGAGGTTATAAGGAATTAAATATGACATTATCTGACGAAGGGTAGTGTTGTTTAAACGACTAGTTTTGAGGCGATCCTTAAATACGGCAAACTCAATATCTTAGCCAGAAAAGATACTGTCTGAGTCTTCGAGATTTCGCTAATAGATCTCTAGACCCTTGTGCCACATCTATTAGCAAAATCTTCAGGGTTGCATATTGGGCTAACCGTTTCTAAAAATCGGCTCAAATCGAGACGTTTAACAACACTAAACGAGAGGAATAAATTTTTTTAAAAATCTAAGTAAACCCCTTGCGAAAAAATATTAAGTTAATTTTTAAAAGTACTTTTTTTAATAAAAAAAAACACTTATCCTAGATGTTGAAGTACTTTAAAAAAATTTTTTAATAATGGATAAAATAAAGAGAGAGAATAGATTTTTAGAGTATGCAATTAAAGGCCTGTAAATTATAAAAAGAAAGAAAGATATAGGATTGTTGTTACAAAAAAAAAATTTTTCCACAAAATACGTTTTAAACTTTGAATTCTTAGATAAAAATCAATTGGAATCATATCGCCGGGGTGGCCTAATGGGTAAGATGTACGATTGGAAACACGAGTATGAACAAAGACGCAGGTTCAGGTAAGGAACAAAAAACTTTCAAGTTTTTCTTCGATGACTGATGTGTAAAGACATATGGTATGATGAATTTCGGAGCTTAGAGATGACACCCCGGTCACCGACAGGCCTGGACAGCCGGGTGCTAAGGATACCTGTCCAATAAACAAAATGACAGAAATAAATGGAAATAAGAATATGAAAGTTAGGACGTTCCCTCCATGCGACGCGCAGGGTGTAGACCTCCATCCTGTGAAAAATAAAGTAAAGGTTAAAGCAAAGAAGACAAGACTGGCAAGTTTGAATATTGGGGCGCTTAAAGGTAAGACGAGAGAATTGGCATCAATGTTGAACAAGAGAAAAGTTGATATGCATACAAGAGACGAAATGGAAAGGACAGAAGACTTTGATGATTGGAGATGGGTATAAATTGTACTATAATGGGCTTGTTAGCAATAGGAACGGTGTCGGCATCATCCTCAGTCAAGATCTAACCTCCTCAGTTGTAGAAGTCAACAGGATCTCTGATAGACTAATGAAGAAAAAACTCTGCATTGGTCAATCAATACTACACATCCTTTCAGTATATGCTCCTCAAACGGGTTGCAAGGAAGAAGAGAAAGATGACTTTAGAGCTATCCTTGATGAAGTTGTAATGGAAATCCCTAAGGATGACCTAGTCATAATTGGTTACTTAAATGCGCATGTGGGGAAAGCAAGAGATAGCTACAAAAGGCATCATGGTGGTTTTGGATACGGAGAAAGAAATGATGAAGGAGAGCATGTACTGAAATTTGCGCAAGCCTTCGACCTTGCCTTAACCAACACCTACTATAGGAAAAAAGACAGTCATTTAATAACATACGAAAGTGGTACAAGGAAAACACAGATAGATTACATGCTAATCTCTCGCAGAAGATTAAAAGATGTAATAGACTGCAAAGTCATCCCAGGAGAAGATATCGCCGCGCAACACAAGCTACTAATCATGGATTTACAAATCTCAAATAAATCCACTCAAAATAAGATAAAACTGGAACCATGCATCAAAAGGGGCAAATTAAAAATAATGACAGATGCCTTTGCAATCAATGCAAACATTGAAACAATAAATTCCTCACAAGTCAGTGAAAAAATTTCATCCAGATTAATAGACACTGCCAAATCGACACTAGGCTTGACAAGAGGAGGCAACAAATCATACAAAGAACTATGGTGGTGGAATGAAGAGGTAAAAACCACTATACAGGAGAAAAAAGCCCTTTATAAAATATGGTACAAATCCAAAAACGCAGATGACAAGACAAGATACAAAAAATCCAAAAGATTAGCTACAAAAGCGGTGGCTAGAGCCAAATCTATGGCATACGATGACATGTACGAAGATCTACATACCAAAGAAGGGCAAAATAAAATATACAGATTAGCCAAACAGCGAGAAAAGAACTCTAGGGATATAAACGGAGCTCCGAAAGTAATCAAAAATAAAGATGGGAAATTGATAATAAAGGAAAAAGAAATAATGAATGCTATCTAGTTCCTATCTTCAAAAATAAAGGGGATCCACACAATTGTCAAAATTACAGGGGCATAAAACTAATGTCACATTGTCTAAAACTATACGAAAATAATAGAAAAAAGATTAAGAGATATAATCGAAATAGGAGAGACACAGTTTGGCTTTATGCCTGGAAGATCTATCCATGCAATTAGGCAAATGAGTGAAAAATACAGGGAAAAGAACAAAAAGCTACACATGGTCTTTCTCGATCTAGAAAAGGCCTTCGATAGAATCCCAAGAAAACTTATCTGGTGGGCGCTACGCCAGAAAAAGGTTCCCGAAAAATATATAAGAATAATACAGGATATGTATATGGGCCATACAACAATGGTCCGTAGCATAACAGGTACTTCAGCAGGCTTCACAATAGCCGAAGGAGTTCATCAAGGGTCGGCTCTCAGCCCACTTCTCTTCATTACAGTAATAGATGTATTAGCACAGTCTATACCTCAAACAGTCCCGTGGAATATGATATTTGCAGATATTGTGATACTTGCCGAATCCAAGGATGAAATGAAAGAAAGGTTAGTGAGTTGGATAAATACCCTAGAAACGCACGGATTAAAAGTAAATAGAGAAAAGACGGAGTATATGGTGATAGGAGGAGATGAAACAGATAGTATTGATATAAATGAATGGCAGATATCCGCAATTGAAAGCAGCAAATATTTGGGCTCCACTATACAAACAAACGGCACAATAGAAAAAGAGATAAAGAGTAAAATTAATCAAGGGTGGTTAAAGTGGAGATCTTTATCTGGAGTGCTATTTGAGAAAAGAATCCCACACAAATTAAAGGGAAAAATTTACAGTTCCATAGTACAACCAGCTATTCTATATAGTTCGGAAACATGGCCAACCAAAGAATCAGACGAGAGAAGTCTACAAACTATGGAGATGAGAATGCTGAGGATGATTGCTGGGGTAACAAGAAAGGATAAGGTGCGCAGTACAAGAATACTAAATAGTTTAAAGGTAGTGCCCATTAAGACTAAGTTATTGGTAAACAGACTTTTGTGGTATGGGCACACAATGAGAAGGCCTATGAACTACATAGGAAATAAAGTTGAAAGTTTGGAAGTGATGGGCAAACGTAAAAGAGGAAGGCCAAAACTTCAATGGGGCCATAAAGTTAGAGCCAATATAAAGAAGTATAAAATAGATAAAAGAGATTGTATGAATAACATAGGGTGGAGAGAGATGTTGAAGGAGCTTACCACCAGAAAAGGTGAAAGCTAAAAGCAAAAAGAAAAAAAAATTGGAATCATGGGGGAGGGGGCAGACCTGTAAGGTCAAATTAGCAAGAATCTTAAACTCTCTTTAGCGAAAATTTGATAACAAAATGTTAATCGAATTTGCAAGGTCCGAAACCTGGTTCAAGTATCATGAATTGTGAATATGCCATTGTTTGATCTATGTTCCCGTGTTCTCAAAATTTCCAGATAACAAAATGTTAATCGAATTTGCAAGGTCCGAAACCTGGTTCAAGTGTATCATGAATTGTGAATATGCCATTGTTTGATCTATGTTCCCGTGTTCTCAAAATTTCCAATCAAGGAATCATACAATTTTAAATTTCTGATCCCTAATTTCAGTTCCTCAATAAAAGGGGTATTTTGCCTCCCCTCCAAAATCATCAATAAAATTTGTATAATGGGTTGATTTTTCTAAGCTTTAAAACACCCTCTAACTGCTTAGATTCAGTGATGAAGGGTTCTCAAAAATTGGAGGGAGGGGGGCAGATGCCCATTGAATCATCGAAATGAGGGGGGGGGGGAAGAATCTTCTTAGTCAACATACAGAGACAATATTATTTTAAAGTGGAATCATTTTAATCATTGGGGGGGGGGGGGCGTCTAAAGGGTCCTGCAGTGAGGCCTCTGATTACTAGTGTTGTTAAACGGCTCGATCAGAACTGATTTTTAAATGGATTTCGCTAATAGATGTTCGAACCTTGTACCATCTGTGACTAAAATCTTCAGGCCTTGCTAAATATTTTTCTGGATAAAATATTGAGTCAGCCGTTTTTAAAAATCGGTTAAAATCGAGCCGTCATTACTAATTACAAGAGTTGTTAAAAGATACTATTTAAATGGATCTAGATACAGATACATTGTCTAAAATAATATCTAGATACAGATATTTTAATCAAAAATCTATCTAGATACAGATACCACATTTTTATATCTAGACCTTTAACAACTCTGCTGATTACAATAAATATTGATTTCATAAAAACGATCGGCATTATAATATTGTTTTCAATGTTATTTATATATTTTTTTAATTGATATTATAAAAAAAAAAAATAAATAAACGAAAAAGTAAACGTGATTCAAAATAATTTTTTAAACAAGGAATAGCCCCTAGCTAAATCTCTCCTTGCGGTAGATTTAATTAATATAATTATTACATTTATATATATATTAATTATTATGCTATAAATAAATTTATTAATATTAATTTTTTTTTTACTTGAGGAGCTAGAAATTTTGGGTATTTTATCGAAATAAACGTGTTTGGATATTTTTCGGATAACATTTCTGAAAGGCGTACGTAGGGATGAAAGAGACGCGACGGAAGAATATTTGTCCGAGTGTTGTTTAAGACTCGTAGGAGAAGAGTTAAGTGCGTCGTAGACGTTACGCGCATGCGTAATATCGGATTGTGGATGCGAATACGATGGTACTACGAGATCAGTGGCTTCGTTTATGAGCGACTCCGTTTCTGCACTTTTATCCTCGCTTTCAGGTGGGTACGAAACGATATAGTCATTATGTTTATCCTCCATCATAATATCGGAGGTATTCTCTGGAGGGATTCTATCCTTGCCATAATTTTCTTTGTCGCGCTCGCTTTGACGCGACGGTAAAGATCTCTCATCCTCGATGAGATTCGGGAATGAGTCGCTTTGCTGTCTAATCGTTCCAGCATGATCCAACTTTTCCAATTCGTTCTTTAAATCGGATATATCGCTACACAGATCGGCTATGGAGATGTTGGACGTGTGAGGAACTCTTGTATACGCGTTTTTTAGGATGCCTCTTTGGTTGTTACCTCCCGTGACCAAATCCGAATCGGAATTATTCAAGCTGCTGGTCAGGACGTTGTTATTATTGACATCTTTGACGACTCTTCCGCGTCCCGCTTTTCTCCTGTAACGGCTTTTTAATAGGACCGTCTTCTCGAGACCGCGGGATCCGTTTTCCTTGGCATAATTATTTTCTTCCATTTTATTACCCGATTTATCCGCACTCTAATACTCCTTTTCGGGATTAGAAACTGTTGTCATTATTTTATTTTATTTTAAATTATACATTCAAAATAATTATTATTCTTTTCAAATCCTCATTTTTTTATTTAAAATTTCTTTTTTTTTAGTGGAAGGTAAAAACAAAAAAAAAATAATAATAATATCATTAATAGATTACAAAATATTATTTTTATTTGACAAAAATTTTTTATTGATTTTATATATATAATATATGTGTTACGAAAATTATTAAATAAATAAGTTTTTAAAAAATAATTTTTTTAGATATTTTTAATTAATCTAAAAAAAAAAAAGGTTATAAGATCATCAAAAAAATTATTATAATTATGAAGGGAACAAAAATTAATTATGTTTTTTTTATAAAAAGTCTTTTAAATTTCGTAAATTTTAAAATTTTTACAGAAAAATAAAAATGAAACTAATTATGACAATAAACTTTTTTATTTTTTGACTTTAAAATAATAATTTTTTTTTGCTACCATAATATAAATTATGCAAAAATAAGAACATTGTTTTATTACGAAATTAATTTTTTTTTTCCATATTTTTTTTTGTTATATAATAAAAGGATATATAATTAGAGACCTGCAGGCCCGGTCCTAAGCGCCCGGGTACATGGGCCGGGCCGTATTTTAATTTTTTTTAAATATATCCGGGCCGGGCCGTACAAATGGTACCTCTACAGGTCTCTGATATATATAATATATTATATAAGTGTGAACCTAAAAAATTATTTCAATATTGTTGAAGAGAAAAAAAATACAGTTTATATTCTTTCATTATCTCTTGAACAGAATTTATAAAATTATTTTTTAATTAGACAATAATTGCTAAAAGGTTTAATTTAATGGTTCCAAAAAAAAAAAAATTTTTTTTTAAGCAAGTTTGCCTTTAAGTATTTATTAAATTGTATTTATTTATTTCTTTTGACAAAGTAAGAATGATCTGGCATATTAATTTTTTTTATTATTTATATTGAAAAGAAAAGAAAAGAAAAGAAAAGAAAAGAAAAGAAAAGAAAAGAAAAGAAAAGAAAAGAAAAGAAAAGAAAAGAAAAGAAAAGAAAGAAAAGAAAAGAAAAGAAAGAAAAGAAAAGAAAAGAAAAGAAAAGAAAAGAAAAGAAAAGAAAAGAAAAGAAAAGAAAAGAAAAGAAAAGAAAAGAAAAGAAAAGAAAAGAAAAGAAAAGAAAAGAAAAGAAAAGAAAAGAAAAGAAAAGAAAAGAAAAGAAAAGAAAAGAAAAGAAAAGAAAAGAAAAGAAAAGAAAGAAAAGAAAAGAAAAGAAAAGAAAAGAAAAGAAAAGAAAAGAAAAGAAAAGAAAAGAAAAGAAAAGAAAAGAAAAGAAAAGAAAAGAAAAGAAAAGAAAAGAAAAGAAAAGAAAAGAAAAGAAAAGAAATTAATATCATTTTTAAATTTTATAATTATCTTCCCTTTTTTTTTATTTGCCTTTAATTATTATTAATCGATTGATAATTTCCGACAATCATAATTCTTTTTCTCTTTCCTTTCTTTCTTTCTTTCTTTCTTTCTTTCTTTTTTTAATGTATATTTAATTATGTTTTAATAATATACTATCATGTTATTTTAACGAAAATGTTTCTAAATAGGTATAGAATGATTATATATTTCCAAAAACAAATGAAGCTACCTCGTTTTAAAATTAATCAAATAAATTTACTTCTCCGACAAATAACAATTTAACAAAATTTAATGTATATTTAATTATGTTTTAATAATATACATATATATTTTTAACGATAATGTCCTTTAAATAGGTATAAGATGTATATTTCCAAAAGCATCTGAAGTTACCTTACCTCGTTTAAAATTTAGTGTTGTTAAACGGCTCGATTTGAGCCGAATTTTAAAAACGGCTAATTCAAGCTTAGAGATTTCGTTTATAGATGGTTCAAACCTTTGTGCCCATTCTTTCTTTCTTTCTTTCTTTCCCATCTACGAGTAAAATCTGAAGGCTTGCATAATATTTATCTGGATAAAATATTGAGTTAGCCGTTTATAAAAACCGGCGCAAAACGAGCCGTTTAACAACACTATTTAAAATTATTCAAATAAATTTTCTCGTCGGACTTTGACAAAAAAATTAAATATAAATTTGGTTATATTTTAATAAATATATTACATACTATTTTTTTCTAACGAAAATGTTTTCTAAATTAGGTATCATATATTCCAAAAGCTTCTGAAATTACCTCGGATTATTTCAAATCAATTTATTTAGCATCTTGGTCTACTACCCTTTCTAGGGAGAAGGCGCGTGAAGAATTACGGGAAACCCCCTATCATCGCATAATCCGCGCCATTTATTTTTCGCTAGTAATCCAACAAAACCTTGTGACCCGGCTGAGAATAAGAAGGAGGAAATGGCACTAAAAAATCCTTAAATTTAATATTGTATTTTTAAAAAAATGTAACAAAATAAAATCAACTTTTACCTTTTTTAAATGGAGTATTTAGAATGACATAAGGAGTACTCTCTTTTCGAATTCCGGTGGCAATTATTAATTTCCAATCTCATTATAATCCATTAAAATAATATATAGTCTCAAGGAGGTCATAAATGAATTAAATCTATTTATTTCTATAAAAGGACAGTTATATAAAAGAATATAGCTGAAAAGAAAAGGTCATATTTCAAATTTACAATTTCCTTTTATATTTATTATTATATTTATATTTTATAAACATTTTACATAATAATTGTCAGAGACCTGCAGGCCAGGCCCGGCCCGGGTACCAGGGCCGGGCAATATTTTAAATTTTTAAAATATACCCGGGCCGGGCCTGAAAAATTTTTTTTTTAAAAACCCGGGCCGGGCTGTATTTTCTTAAAAATTTATACAACATGAATTATTATATTCGTCAATTAGATATGGTTATAATGATTATATATAATTATGATTAATATAATGTTTGGTGAAAGCTAACACTAGCTAACACTCATAGTATCTATTACATAATAAAATTATAGTTTTCCTGCCATGGAATAAATACGCAAAGGAATTATATAATATATAATATATGTTATATTTTTTATTAATTAAAATATCATTTTTATTTTTTTTTATAAATACATAGTATATTCTCAAAATATTATTTACACAAATCTTTTATAGTATTAATTTGTAATATACTATATATATCAGTTTAGAATAATAAAAAAATATTAGTGTTGTTAAACGGCTCGATTTGAGCCGATTTTTAAAAACGGCTAACTCAGTGTTTTAACCAGAAAAATATTATGCAAGCCTGAAAATTATAGAAGGAGCAAAGATCTAGACATATAGTATCGAAATTTCGAGGCTTAGTCAATATTTTTCAATCGGCTAAAAACGAGCCGTTTAACAACATTAGCTAATATACTTGCTTATTAAATGATAATACTCGCCGAAAAATATGATAAAATACGAAATAATGAATATTTTGTATATAACAGGTCGAATATAATTTTTAAAAATTCCGAGCCGGGCCTAAATAAAATTTTTTTTTTAAACAAGGCCGGGCCCCAAAAATTTTTTTTGTAAATATTCGGGCCGGGCCGAAAATTTTGAAACCCGGGCTGGGTCGAAAATTTTTTAATCTGGGCCGGGCCGTACAAATGGTACCTCTGCAGGCCTCTGATAATTATTAAACATTTGATTTTGATCCATATAAAAATTTTCTTTTTAAAAAAATAAAGTTAATGCGTTTAGCACACGCGTTTAGCACACAAAATATCATAAAACATCCAATAAATTCATATAAAAGAAATTCAAAATTCAATATAAAAAATATCAATTACAAATAATACATAAATTATTAAGAAAACACATATTGTAATGTATATAAAAAACTAGATTTAAAAAAAAATATATATGAAAATTCCAAAATCTATGCACATAAATTTGAATTAAAAATTAAATGTATATAATAAAAAATAATGAATATATGAACGTATAAATAAAGTCTATATAAAAATGCGACAAAAGGAATATGAATAAAAAAAAATTTAAAAATACCAATGAAGAACGGGGATGGTATAATGAGAGGAAAAAAAAGGATTTAGGATGGCTCTTTGGCTATTAGACTACCATTGAAGCTGATATGATTGGCTTTAAGGATTGCTATGGCGAGCCTTGGTCGTAGAAAAAAACCCTCTCGAGGTTCTTCTGAATGTTTACTGATTTGAGATCCTAAATTTTTGAAAAAAGCTAAGGCAAGTTTGCCGAAGGTGGAAAGTGTGGTTGAAATAATTGAAATGACAATGGTCATTAGTAATTTCTGTTCATTTCGAGGTTTTAAGCTGTTCCTTCTGGTCTATGATGTTGAGTATCTGGTTAAATGAGGCAAGGGGGTCAATACAAGAAAAGTCTCATACTAATAATTGGCCTCTCCTCCACGGAATTTGAGTGATGCTGTCTGAACGTTTACCATCAGATCTGAAAAGACCCTGAGGTTCAAGTATGAATGGGATTTGTGCTGATTTCAAGGCGTGTTGGATGATTGCATTGCCTGTGTCTAATGAATGGATCATTGCAGTAGCGTGTAAACTATGTCTTCCATTCGTGTCGACGGGCGAGTTACAGCCTGAACAGATGTGAGGGTGGGTGATTGAGCAATTTATACGAATACCGATGGCGTGGGTAAGTTCGTTATTCGAAAGTTGAAGTTGAAGATTGATAGAAGGAATGGCCTCGAGAAACTTTGGCCCAGTACCAATGAGAAGGGAAGAGAATATGGTGCGGTCAGTTAATTGCATGTTAGATAAGAGAGTTTCAACGCAGCGAGCAACTACCGGAGCATCCTAGTCTTTCTGTCTATGGGTTGTGGGGGGATGAGAATCAACATTGATTCGAGTTTTCCAAGTGTTTATGGCCTCAATTAAGGAAAGATCTTCTTTAGAATGATGGGCGTTTGTTATTTGCTATGACAAGAACTAGATATGAAAGAAGTTATTGCTAGATCATAAAGAGATCTAATTCTAAATCTCCACCGGATTTTGTGGGGAGCGAAGCTTGCGCGCAAGCGTCGTTGAATCTTAGATTTATTATTTTTTCGGTTAGGTCTTTTATTCCGTTTTCGTATGTTTTTAATGGAGAAGGATATTTAAA